TATTTGATAGATTACTATAGTTCAAGATCGGCTGTCAACTTGCGATCTAGCAAAGACCAGAGCTGCCAAGACACCATGAGACAGTGTCTCGATGATTGAAATAACAACATCATGCCACTACGAAGCACCACATGAGACTACTCCCTCCCCAAGCACCACGAGAATCCACGAGAAAAATAAAAACATTCGGCGTGCCATCAGGATGTTGAACTGATTCGCTCTGGCCACGATGGCCTGCACAAGGGTGCAGCCTGCTGGGGCAGCCTTTGCTTTAAGTAATGAATTTGGGAGCAAATGACTGCTCAAAAGGCTCATGAGCTTTGCAAACATGATGCGCCTTCTCCTTCTCCCCGAAAAAATACTGTATATAACTGCTTCCCTTTCAAAACCGGATGCATCCCAAGCCAACACACTGCAGTACATCCTCATCTCCTTTGCAAGACCTCAGAAAGAACCCACCAAAGCAGCCTCATCATACAACTGATATATACAGTATATATATATATATTAATATATTAATAGCCTGGATGTCCGGCCTCCTCCGTTTTTTTCAGCGTCCGCCCCCCTCCCCCTTCTTTTCCTTTGTCCGCCCCCCCGGGTCAACCGCTCCAAAGGACGGTCCGCCGGGCCTCTCGGATCTCCCTCGAGACCTCGTGAGGTCGGGGCGGGAAGAACTGCTGAGGTCGGGTCGGGACGGCTGCCCTGTTGGGAATTGGGTGTTTTGGGGTCTGTTTTGGGGTGATCACGCGACACTGACAGGGGGACAGAGCTGGGAATACTGACCGGAAGACCGCAGCTTTGGTGGAAAAGAAGAAGAGCCAAAAGAATTCTGCTCTCACACTCAGTACCAAAAGAGTGTCCAGCATTCCACCATCAGTTGGGTGCAGACCTCGTCCCAAGCGCGTGTCCCAAGACAACCGGCGCGTCCCTGCGCGCCAGCACACGCACTCTTGCGCAGGTTTGCGTCCTTCTGGCGCCCCCTTTTTCGACCAAGAGCCGAGCGAACGCGCCTTTGATGGGCCTTGGACATCTCTGGGCCCTTGAGGGACCCCGGTCAAAGCACTGAACGGTCAAACCCTGCGAGACCCAAAAGCACACCCTTCTGAAAAGCCAACATGCGGAAAGCGAGGGATCCGTCACTTTTAGAAACACCGGGGTATTCTTCCAAAGCCACCTTTGCACATCTTATGCAGGTGCGACGCGGCTTTAATTTCTGGCGGCCCCAGATGGTGTGCGGGACACGAAAAGGGGCGCGGCGCCATCCGGCGTTCACGCCCAAAAAGCGTCCAAAAGCCAGCGTTCGGGAACCTCAGCCTTCCAAGTGTCTCTCCATATTCCTTCAAGACATCATGGCAAATTCTGAGATCGCTGGAAATCTTCCCACGGGAATTTCTGAGCACATCCTGCAGAGTTTGGAGATCCATGTCTGAACGACGACAGGGAGATGATCCGACCAGTCGGGAAAGAGCCCAAAGTCTGAGATGACGATATACTTACTTTCTGATTGTGATTGCACAAGGATTGTTTCATGAAAACGGAAAAGAAAACACAGTTTTTTAATGACCAAGATAAGATTGTCCATATCATGATCATGCTTGTTCGTACAGTTCTCATATGTGTTCATAATGGTTTTATTGTCTGTCTTTTTCTATGAAACATTCATGAAAAAACTACGGATGCTTTTATGATGTCAAAAACTATTGCAAAATGTTGTTTGTGAGAAATATTGAAAATTGTTTTAAGAAAATAAAAAAATAGATCATATAATAAATAATAAATAAATAACAATAAAAATAACTAAATAAGTATTCCACCAGAAACATCCACGTGGTTGATTTCGTTAGTTTTTTGTTTAGTTTACAAAATATATATATATATCATGTTCATATTACATATTGAAAAAAAGTCTATCTTGAAGTGATCTTTACCAACTTTGTAGGATCTCAAGACTACACTGGTTTGACCATAAATGATGACTTTTTGATAAAAATACAGATACAAATACATATATTATATGGAAATTCGCATGAATCACCTCAACTGCATGTTGTGCCATCTTCTCTGAAAATCACTGCAAGGTTGCACGAAATCGCCGCTCCGATCCCTAGTCTTCCCAAAAAAGACGGTTCGACCTGATCCCGGATCATGCAAGATCAGGCAGGGAAAAGTAAAAAATGCGTTGGATCGATGTTTATTTTCTCAAAGTCTATCTCTTCCATGGCGCAAAAGATGTTCCCTTTTCGCTCACTCCCCTGCTCCTTTGGCGGGTGGAAAACTTGGGATGACCCTCCGATTCTTCAGCCGCCTGGGCTCGCATGGCTGTGAACGGTGAGTTCGTCTCAGCCGCTGTGAACGGAGAAGAGGGAGGTTGGCTGCACCAGCCGAGAAGAAAGAAGCAATGAAATAGGTGTGGTGTCCCTTACAAAGGACCCCTCCACAGTCGTCTTTGAAAACCTGAGACGAGTAGCGTCTCCCTTGATTTGAGGTCACCAGACTGCCAGTTTTCCAGGGTCTTCCAGCACAAGTTCCACCCAGCTGATGGGCTCCAGGGCTGTCCCTGGGCTGTCCCTTCCCTGGTCTTCTGATCTCCAATGTTCATAGAACTTCATGAAATGACTATACCCCTGCCGTCCTTGTTCGAAAGCTGCCAATGGCTGAGCCTTCTCTTGAAGTGCACCCAAATAAAGATGGAACCCGCAAGCAACACTTCGACCAACTGGACCTAACTGGACCTGTGGTACCATCCTCTAACTGGACCTCATGCAGGACCTCCACTCCTGGAAGATTCCACCAAGTCGCACTACCTCCGACATGCCGGAAGCCTGGGTTCCAAGCGCGCGGTCTTAGTTTGGTCTTACTTGCTACTCATGACTCATATGATTCCTTTTTCTTCCTCAGGTGTCCGGGGTGAAGCTGGACAAGACATGCTTCTACAAGGAGATCTCTCAACTTGACCGGCCAGGCCGAAACCAGGGCGGTCTAGTGGCTGGCGCTGGCGCTTCGGTTGTGAGGGCCTTTTGGGCCACAAAGAAAGACCTTTGAAGACCTTGGATACCTTTGAATACCATCTTGAGAAGAGGACCACGGTCAGGTAGCTTGGTCCTAGTAGCTTGGTCCATCTTGGTCCTATACTAGCTGCCAGAGTCTACCATGGTCTGTCCGGTCGTGCGTTTCGTGCCCAACGAAGAACACCTAGACTCTGAGTCCTCCTCCTCCTACACTTCAAAACCCGACCGGCACCGCCCCCCCAGGCTCCGGCCCTGGGCCTCAAGCGGGGTGAACCAAGCTTTTCAATTGCCACAGGCAGCGCACGCAACAGCGCTGCCTGGCGGGAACTCGTTCCCTGGTACAGTCGTGAAATGCGAGAGTGGGAGAGACACATCTTCTCCAAGTCAACCCACGAGTCTGTGCGAATCAGATCTTCAAGATGTCTCGACTCACTCAGGGGTGAGACATGTTGCATGTGTTTCGTCGATTTCCACGACAGATTGGTAAAAAAATTGCAGCACATGATGCTAGAAATGCTGCAGAGAAAGATCCACATTATTAACACCACTGATCTCACATTGCGGTCTTCCCCAGTCTTCCCATCTGCTGCGTGGCATCAAGAGTCCCTGCAACCAACCCACCAAACCACAATTAGTCTCACACTCCCACTCGATCACGAACACGAACACAAAAACCTGCGAAAAGGCACCACTGAGCATTGTCAATCTCCTTCTTCTAAGCATCCTCCTGCCTCAAATTGCAGTCAGAAAGGGAATGGCCTAAACCGGGCTGGCCCACCCTCAGCATCTTGCCCCCCCTCTCCCCCATCTCTCGCGCCTCGAAATCCGCCCCCAAGGGTCCCACGAGCGACGCCGCCGCAGCTCGGCGGGCGCGCGCGGACAGGGTGGGAGCCTCCGGATGGGCGGCGACCTGGCAGGAGGACGCGGAAGAGCATGGAGAGAGAGGGTTTTTGTGGCGAGACGGATGGGCTTGTTTTTGCAGGAATTGTTCCAAAACTGTGAACATAGTTGAGATATGTTGACATGCTTAACTTCAATAAAGAGATCTAAAGAGTCTAGAGTTGTGTGGTTTATCTGCGAAACCCTGACCCTGAGAAGAGATGGCTTTTGCGAAGAGAATTCTTTCCAGCTTCCTTTGTTTGAGTGGCTAGATTGTCATCAGTTGTTTATGATGTTGAAAGAACTTGCGCTTTATGTTCAAACAGGCAACTGAGCAGCCAAGTTAGACCTTTGTTGCAAGCCTTTCTGGGCTGCCTCCTCAAATACTTTGGGATGACATTCAGAAATATCTTCAGTTGATTTCAGTTGCTCATGCCACCAGCCCATTTCTCCAGAACCCTTTGCTTCTCCCCCACCTCAACACAGCTTTGCCCCTCCGAACGCAACCACCATGCCACCCCCCCCACCTTCTGCGGCGTCGTCGGCCGTGCCCGCCGCAGCTTCACCAAGTACGGCGACTTCGGCCGTGCGCGCCGCGGCTCCGGCGCTCCTTCAGCCGGCGGCACCGGCGGTGGCGCTGGGGGCCGGAGCGCGCCGCTGGCGGTGGTCGTCAGGAGGTCTGGGTCGATGGACTTCACCGTGTCATCCCAAACCTCGCGGCGGATGCGGATGCAGCAGGTGACACATGTTCTCCAATGAGTGGTCGAAATGATTTGGTGGGTATACGGCTACCAAGTGAGTGGTCAAAATGGGGCTCTTCCATGTGGAGCTCTTGAATCTCCTTTTTGGTCTGGAGTCTGGGGGTCTCAAATTGGAAGCATCCATCCGCCCCCACCTTCCAGCCAAACAGTTGCCGCAACTCCATCAGGGCTCGGCGCCGGTGCAGCACGTTGTCAACGCCCATGGACAAGAGGTCCTGAAACCAACTGCTGTGGGCGCATGAAGGTGAGTTGGTGGACAAGTTCTCCACAAGTCCCCGGGAGCGGAGGGAGCCAAGCCTTCCAACTGCACAGTTGGGTATATTCCGATCAATCTTGTGATCCTACGATCAAAATCCTGGGAACACTGATTGTACTGTCGAGGTGTAGGAAAACATGCTCTTACAGTGTCCCATCCTCGCTATTGTCCAGCCAACAAGCGTGCCATGGTGGTTCTTGAACACATCCCCCACCTACCCCCCAAGAAATCAGCGATCTGCACAGACATGCGCCGCACCTCATCGTTGAGGTCGATCGCCACCAAGCCGTTCACTAAGTGATCCTGGATCGCCACGCCGATCCGAGCAGTTGGACCGCGGCGACGCCACCGGCGACGAGTCCATTGTGACTGACCCGTTGCACCTAGGGTGAGAAGCAAACACCACCAGTCCCCCCCTAAGGACCCCCAAGCCACAGCGACTCTCCCTCCCTCCTCCCTCCTCCCTCCTCCCTCCTCCCTCCCTCATCCTCCCTCCGATTTTTTGGGGTTCTCCTCCTGTCTTCGTTTCTTTCTCGCCTCAAAGGCGTTGGTGATTGGAAGCGGCAAGCCACGGCTTTGCAGCCAACGACTCACCTCGCTCTCCGTCCAGTACCTCGGTCGAGGCCGGTGACGCCGGTGACGCCGGTGACGCCGGTTGCGCCCCAAACGAAGGCTGCGAGGAACGGTGAGCGCGGAGCTGTTCGAGCTCTCTCTCTCTCACTCTGGGTGATGGAGAATCCTTTTAGGTGAGAAAGAAGAACGATATGAGTCATGAGTCGAGGACCGAAGCTGTTACTGCTTCCGAGATTGGCCGGTGGGGCTCATGTGAGGTTGTGCTACACCTCCACATCTTCAGAGTATGTGTACCCAGGCTTGGCGGGTTTGGGCAGGGTCAATCAATCGAGCCACACCGGAGAGATCTGGTAACAATCTCTTTCAGAGCACTCCATGGCTTGTGATTCGCCAGCGGCCAAAGTGGATGCATGCAGTCATGCAGCATTCAAGTCATCTGAGACCTAGCTCCGCATCAGCATGGTGGGTTTCCAGAAGCTGGAAGAGTCCAGAACAGTAAGGTGCTTCAGAGTTTGATTCCACAGAGTGGTTCGTGGACCATGTCTCTGCAGTTCTGATTGGCTGGTCTGGCTTTTTCTGTCGGATCTGCTCTTTGAGAACCACCACGGCCAAAGGCATGCTATGGGCACTCACAAGCAACCACAAGCATCAGTTGCCGTCTGCGCTTTGCAGAATCAACACAATATGGTTTCTTTTGAAAGGACAGCAGACGTTGCAACCTGCATCACCCCCCAGATTCGCCCTCCGATCACCGGACCTACAGCCGCGCGATTCGGTGCGCTGACGCGTCCGCGCCCGCGCGCGTCGCGTCCGCGCCTGTTCTCGCTGCGTGAGGAGCGACTCGGCGTTGTACTGCGCAATGGTGGCCTTCATCACCTGCCGACGGCACCCACGCGACGCGACGGGTTTCGACACGGAACGAGCGAAGACAGCGACGGGTTTCGACCCCCGGTGGAGGAGGGGAGCCGGAAGCGAAGAGCGAAGCGAACGGAACGAACGGGCTCTGGTTTGGGATTCTTTGGACAAGTCAAGCGGCCGAGAATAGCTCCAGGCCGATCATTGTTGGCAGGCAGCTTTTTTTGAGTGGGAGCACCAAAAATACCCAAATGAGCAGCTTTTTAGAGGCATGAGCGGCATGGGTGTGGCTTCACCCGATATGTGGTAGCCAGTGTAATGACTCTGGATTCAAGAATTGGAGTGTTATGTGTTTTTCAACAAGAGCTCTATCTCCTAGGTGGCAACAAGGTTCTTACTTCTCATGGGATAGGACAAGTTCTTCTCCTCTTCATATATAAGTGCGTCACGATCCATTCGGCTCATGTCCGGCTTGGCCGCCCTTGCCTCGTTGGCGATGGACGGAAGGACACGCTCATCATAGTCCTCACGGACGGACGCGGCATCTAGTGAGTCTAGTGGCCTGATATGGCCGGATGAGTAGTCTGGTGGACTGCATCCTCTAAAGAGACTTCTTCACCTCGGGTTGGGGTGTTCCGGTCAGATCCACTGGTGTCAAATCCATAGTGTCAAAAGGAAAGGAGTACCAAAATGTTGTTCAAAAATGCAGGGGCCCCTGCTTCCCCGAAGCCTCAAGCTGTATGCATTCAAGGCCATGAGGAAGCCTCCCTCCAGAAAAACTGGAGCATGCAGGTGCAGTGACGGGGATGGAAAGCCCAACTATTTAGGCCACGGCCACGGCCACTCGACCTTGCTCAATAATGCTGAATATTTCTTCTCTCCAGTAGCATCACCTGAGAATTCCTCTGCCACCAAGACTTGGTATTCTTTGTAGCAAATCCACGAAGCCCAACCATCAAGACTTGCATCGGCAGACCGAAGGAGCCCTGGGGCGCGAGGTCCCTTTGAAGAGGCTCCTCTCCGAGGGTCTTGTGGATGATGGGAAGCCCTTCGATTTGAGGCTTAAAGAGCATTCCTGGCTCAAAATGGGCATCGGGCTCGTGTTTGAATCTGAAATACGTCTGCTATTTACTAAAAAGAGAACGTGTAGAAAAGACACCGGAATCCTTATGTTCAGGCTGCTCATTTAAGCTCTAGAAAATTAGAAACTGTACCTGCAACAGAAGTTCTGCGCCTACAGTACATCATTCCCATGGCATTCCCTTCCAACAGCCAGCAAAGCTGGCGCATCCGACCGGTCAAACATGCCAGCAAAGCTGATGTGAATCGTGACCATCTGCAGGTCCTGTCGTGACCATTTGCCCGTAGGCAGGATCCCTACCCATCGACAACATCGTCCCTACCTCCAGGTGCGGACGCACTCAATGGACCCCGCACTCTTCTGCCCAAACAGACCGACCCCACCTTGGTTCCGGTGGTGGTCTGGATGAGCTTCGGTCTGGAGCGGATGCTGTACCACTTCGGCTGCATCAACTGGGCGGAGGTCGCCGTAGGGTGTAGGGTCTCACGGTTATATGGGCACAGAAACAGAGAACCACCAAAGGGAAGGAAGACCAGCATGTTTGTCTTTCTTGGGGTGGATGTTGTTGCACCTGCGCCGCTTGCACCCATGGATTTTGGTGGTATCGCACGTCTCTGTCTTGCCTTTTCACTTGTGTAGTGTGCAGTTGATCTTTTTTGAGGGTTGTGGACTCCACAAAATCCTTGAAGAGGAGGGGATGCAAAGCAGTGGTTGTTCTACAGCCAGCTGTGGAGGAGTCCTCCTACATCTCCCGTGCGGCAGCGGAGGTGCTTGGCACGCATCCAACCAGAGCAAGCCCACACACACGGACTTGCAGCACCTGACCGTCCATCCGGGATGAGCTTCAGAGATGAAAGGAGATCACCCCCATGCAGACGCTAGCGTCCGTTTGGACCCCTCAGAAAGCAAATCAAGTACCGTAACCCGCTGTCACCAACCCCCAGCGCCGCGTGCCGTTATTGTTTTCTTTGCGCCCGCGTGGCGGTGGCGCTCTACCTTGTTCTTCGCGCCGCGCCGTGGTGGGCGCCCGTTCCACGTGGGAAAAAAGCCCTCCGCCGTCGTCCCCCAGTTCCGCCGCCAAGTGGCCCAGGGCACCTTGAAGTGCGTCCCTTCCCCTCGGACCTTGTCCTGCCGACCGGTCCGGCGGCGAACCGTCGCCTCTCGGTCCGCTCGGTGTGACTGGGTCGTCGGGTGGATCTGCAATGACACAGGTTCGGGTGGGAGTCACTTGTCCATGGGGAAATGGAGAGTCATCACACTAGTACAAGTAGATACAAGTAGTATGCTCATATAGGAAAAAGAAAGAACCAAAACCTCGATCAGCACGCTTCAACTGCACCATGTTCCAGTTCTCCTCTACGCCTGTGAGCATGTTCAGCATCACGACCCGTTGACCGCCATCCACCTGAAGGAAGCGAGAAGGGATTCAGTCACGGAAAGGACTGATCGGGAGAAGAAGGCAATATGGCTGTGGTTCAAAACACCTGGGAGCAGCTCCGGACTCAGCCCGGTAGGTCGACCGGACTTCCATTCTCGTAGTCCAGTCGGTTCCTTTTTCGGCTGGAAAAACCCAGGTCTCCCGGTTTTGACCCCACAGCTATACCTAGAACCTGAATGACCTCTATTTTGGACCACTCAAAATATCTCAAAATAAGGTCTTTTCCTATCAAAACCAGATGGTCAAATCATAGGTATGTAATACACATGATTGAAGAAAAACGAATGGGTTCTCCAAGCCGGACACCTCGACACCGTTCGCACCACCGGTCACCAAGGATTGAGCTGGATCTAAAAGGATTGGATCCAACTTCATCTTGGCGGTTTGGAGCCAAGAATCTAATCCTCATAGAGCCAGTGGGTCAAAAGAAAAACCAGGGGGGACCCTGGTCGACCACTGAACATGAACAGAAAATAGATAATAGACTACTTCCAGGGACCACCGGCCCCTGGGCACTCCCAACATCATAGAGGCAAAGCGATGGGATCATGGCGGCAGTGCCAAGTCCTGGAGACGTCGCCCCACGTGGGGTCGATCGGTCGGAGAAGCTGCGTTTCTGGAAGCAAAGGAAAGGTTGCACCCTGGTTTCAGATTGATCACAAAGCGGAAAAAATGAAGAAAGACCAACGGGAACGGAGAAGAATGTGGGGCCGATGCGCTTGGGCGGAGGAGGGTGGGTCTGTTGCCGGACGATGGAAACGAAGCCCGACATTTCGGTCGGGCTAAAGTTTCTTGCATTTGAAGGTCCACTAGTTCCAAGTGGATTTTCCTCAGTACACCTTCCTTTCCTCGGCCCGTGTCGAGAACATTCTGAGCACAGATTCGCATCGATCTCTTGTAGATGGTCAGGAATTCAAAGCAAGCTAGTAGATGCAAATGCATCTTGTTTCTTCCAACCAATCAGATGAAACCATTTTCCGAGACCCTCCTTCCAACCAGTCTCCATCTTAGGGCCCCGTCTCCATTCCCTCCCTACTCTGAGTGCGGTCCTAGGCCTAACCGATAAATCCCGGTGAGGAGTTTGTCCATCTGGGCGGAGCGGCGGAGCGGCGGATGCAACCACAGCCAGACAGCCAGACACGGCAGTAGTCCAATAGGCTTCAGCAGTTTCTGTGGATTGCTTTAGAAATAAAACACCCAAAACAATGGTGGATTGATGGGTGTGTGTGTGACTTTCCAGGATGGTCAGGCAAGCCTTGATGCCGACAATGAAAGGTCAGTGGTTGCGGAAAGTGTTCCTTACGGTTTTCCTTTGCTCCAATGCAGCTTCCTTGACCTCGTTTGGCTGGACCGGGTCTCCGGGTGTCTCACATTCGCCGGCTGTGCCATGCTGAGGTTCCTCAGATGCATCTTTTGAAGAAAAGAAACTGCTCAATTCATTGGAGTGACGCAGAAAACAACGATCTGTTTCGAGTGTCCATGAATTTTGGGAAAACAACCAGAATAACATGGATGTAACGATGGACCGGCTCGAGAAGCATGCAATGGCAAATCGCTGCAACCTATTTGGAGGGGTTGATCTTTACGGCATGGCTTCAACTGTTGGCCTTTCGAAATGCATAAAAAGAAGGGTACAAGTAGCTTTAATTATCCTTGGATGCCAGTCACTGAGTCCCAGCTCCCTTTCCTGCCGTCCAAGCGGCTACAAAATTGCCCAACAAGTTCAGGCAGGTCGACACTGGCGGCCAAGAGGTGTTTTCTTCTGCTGAGCCGTGTTCGACAGAAATGGCCAACAAAGGACTCATTCGATGCACGACTGAGCCGTGTTCGAGCCGAGCATAACGCCTCAGCCTCAGAATCCGGATCACAGGGTGTCCTTCGCTTCACTGGGTGTCCTTTCCAAAGGGATCAAAAGAAAGAAAAAAATCCGCCGACCCCGGCCGCAGGAAGGGGGAGCGCGCGAGGGAATACAGGTGGGGGAGCCTGCGTCATGCCATGGTTGGCGGGCCTGTGGCCGCTGCTGAGACAACAGCCAAGCCGAAGTGGATCGTGAAAACGGGAGCATTTTTGGTCTGGACGTAGGGTTTGCTGGAGGCTGCAGCAGGGACTGGTGGACGCTTGTTTTGGGTTTGGGGCTGCGACCTGTCGAGAGAGCGGTCTCATGGTGAGGGTGAGAAAAACCATTGTTTTTTCTAGGAA